GGTCTCTGAAATTTCCCCAAAGAAGGTCCCGCGTATATCATACCTGGCACTAAGGTCGGAAAACGGCTTAGTTAGGGAATTATAAAGGCTCAAAGATTGGACATTTATGTACTGTTCTGGCTTGATGTAGTCAGCTGTTTGTGTAAATGCAATAACTAGAATCTCGTCCAAATAACCCATCCATGTTATCTTCGTCATGGCAATCTCGTCCGACATCTATTTTGCCCACTTTTGAGAAGCCATTTTCTCTTGAAATCGGCGAATCTCTCATTTTCTGCATTACCGATTATCAATTCCCAATCCGTACTTCAGCTATTCGAATGAAAACGGGTATCTCAAAAAACGTGAACTGTGGCTTTAAATGCCATCCACAATGCCATTAAACAAGCTGGAAAGAAACTAGATTCAACTCCTACCTGATGCTACAAATATTGTATAGAATGCATTTTTGAACGTTTTCGCCTTGGAACTGATGATAACCAGCAGTACAAAGATGTAGCATAGCACGAGAAAACCTTCTGCAATAGTTTGCTTCACGTTATGTACCATTTTTCCTGAAAGCAAAAGTTAAGGTTTGATTCGAAACTCATCAATCGCAAGAGAGAACTCATCAATCGCACCACTAACCATAGACTGCTAATTGATGTTGCTCGAACACTGAAGAGAAATAAACTCTCGAACACCCTAACAAAAATTGCTGAGCATCAGATGCGTGTTTACAGGGAGTGGGATGGTACATGTGAAAGTACTAATTCGGATAGATTAACGATTTCCAGGGGAGGAGTAGAGTTTCTAAGAGTAGAGTACCTGTTCCCTTTTAAAAACTCGGATCATGTCGTGGCGCAATGATCTCGAAAGGATATTCTCAATATTCATTCATGTTTGTGCGCTAGCCATTGTAACTCGGGGGACCCTTTTGTTTTGAAGAACACAAAGCATGCCATCCTTGTTGTTCAGAGGGTCGTAGAAGTTTGTGGTATCGTGTTGGCTTGTCCAGGTGTTCGTCTGACGTCCCAAGGGGCCCAGTCAGTAATCCAGAGGTCATCCCAAAGTCGCATGGTGTGACCTGATTCTGCGTTACTGACGTCTTCACATTTCTTGCTCTTCTTATTTTACTGAGAAAATGCTGTTAAAATGGATTGAAATTCTTCAACGGAGACTACTATAAACCACCATGTTCACGCCCACTCAGCCTTAGAAGTAATAGCTTTATGTCGAACGTTTTTCAATTCATCTGATTCCTACCCGAAATTTATTCATGAGTGTAATGGAATTGCATACCCTATCACAAAAGTGAATTTAATTTTCCAATTCTTAGAAACTATCTGAGAAATAAGCGGTGACCTGTAGTCCATCCCCAGTACTACGTTCATGAAGAAAACAGTGAAAATATTGAGCAAAATGTGGTAATGATGCATAAAGGAGCACCATATAAGGTAACGACTGTTTTTTCGCAAAAAAAAAAGTTGCGCGATTCTACAGATTTTTACAGTATCTGAGGAATAACATGTGGTATTCTACACAATATCTGTAGAATCGCGCAAAACTGCGCGATTCTACAGATATTGTGTAGAATACCACATGTTATTCCTCAGATACTTTATTTTGTATCAACATTTTGTGTTTGGAGTTGTTATTTGAAAGACTGGAGTAGCAGGAAGTAGTATTGTATCAAGCGTTGGAAGCTTTCTAGACGCCTACTCCTCGTCTAATGATTTCAGGAAGTTGATCCCATTTGATCTATATAAATATACTTCCGATTTTCACTATATTGGAGAAAAGAAAGGAAAAAGTAGCTGAACGCTCCCAATAAAACATCCACGGACTCCTGCTTCCTCTCCAGACGACCGCCCGCCATCTGAGCCAACATTACAATCCGTAATAACCTGTAATTGGGGAACTCCAAAACAATTTTCTCTACACAGAAAGCCTCCGTTTTCACGGTCTCAAAGTTTGTCATTAATTAGCCATCACTGGGACTTTGCTCAATTAACCAAATGTATTTAGAGCAATTTGCAAAAAAGTTCCGACCACGGCAGGATTCGAACCTGCAATCTTCTGCTCCGTAGGCAGACGCGTTATCCATTGCGCCACGCGGCCACGCGATTGCTGTCCTAGAATATTCAACTTTGAATATTCTAGCTTGTCGATATAAGATCTCTAATCAGTGGACGATTTTTTTTTCTGCTTCTTGGATAACTTAACGTTTTCACACAGACAAATGAATAAAAATTTTTGAAAATAAATAAAATTCTAGTTTGTACATGGCCAAACATTTCGAGACAGACGACTTACTGTACAGCGTAAGACCGTCCTTTTCATTAAAATTACATTTTCTTCCCTTAAAAAATTTCTTTCGATATTTTCGGTTCCCTTGGCCCTTTACAGCCCAATCTTCAGGATTCGGGCTCCATTCTCTTTTGATCTGACTCTTTGAACTCAAGAAAAGTTCCGTCCTAATTTCCAAAACTGAAATCGTAAATCCAAGGATATATCAACATTGGAAAAAATACAGGGGACTTTCACAAGATTACTTTTTTCAGATGTTCTTCTAGTACCAGTCATATTAATTTGCCATGTTACACAGAAAGGATAAAAACAATTGTGCTAACACAGCTAACCTATGAGCGAATCGGAGCTGGCTTCACCCCATCACTTTGTATCATAAAGGCATGGTTCACGATAAAAACGGTTACTGAGTTCTGCTCCTAGAAATACTCACTGGCCCCCAAGGGTAATAGGAAGGACCCTCCGGGCTCAAAAACTCGACGATGGTGGTGGGAGCTCCGTTACCGGATCACCCGGACTTCCCGCCTCTCGATCGATGTCACATCAGACGAGAGTCGAAGCGATACAGCTGGCAAATTTTCGTTCTAGAATCCACACACAATCAGTTGATCGCCGAGTGATGAGGCTGTTTTTCTCCAATTCTTTCATTCTCCGTTACTCTTTTTGTAGCTGCGATCCCTTATTAAATGTTCTACCCCAAGAGGCTAAAAAAGGTGGGCTATTCCGCAGTTACTAGGGTTTTTTTGTTTACTTGTTCATGCTTATGGGTGAATGAATCTTTGCTTTCCGTAGTCAGCTGTTCGCACCAGAACCCACACTTACACAATGAGACACATTGTATAGCTCTTCTAAACGCCCAATTCATTTTTCTGGTCTCATTCTCGTACAGCCCCCTTTTTAACCATTTTTCGTAGCCTTTTTTCACTTTGGAAACACTTCGATTCACGAAGTTTTTCCGCCTTCATGGCACTATTTTCCATCTTATCTTCAGTTTTTCGTCATAATCTGGATCACCCAAAATCATCGTGAACTGTGCCTTTAGATGGATTGCCATGGATTGCCGAAGAACATTCTCGAGTCTGGTGACCTCCTTCAGAAGCGAAACAGACCTGCAGATGAACATGAACCTGCAGACGGAAGAACACGGTACACCGCGGACGCTCACCATTGTTCGGAACAGACGAGGAGTAATGACTATCAATAAGGCCCTGTCCATTCGAAACGGTAGGCAGTGATGGAGGTAAATACATTCATCATGGCAATGACTGTGCTGTATTGTGGAAAGAGTAAAATGCACACTTTACGCACACATGATTACAAAATACCATGATCCATGTACCAAGAAGTAGTTGGAATTTTATGAATCAACCTAAACAAGAGGGAAGCTGATTGGCAAAAATTCTAGAGGTACTGTAGGTTCAGGCTAGTAAAACTTCACGCTGCTTCCTGTATGTAGCGGCTTTGCAAAGCTTGTTGGGCGAGGGGGAAANTGAGATGGATTGCGATGGATTGCCGAAGTACATTCTTGAGTCTGGTGACCTGTCAATAAGGCCCTATCCATTTGAAACAGTAGGCAGTGGTGGAGGTACATACATTCATCATGGCAATGACTGTGCTGTATTGTGGAAAGAGTAAAATGCACACTTTACGCACACATGATTACAAAATACCATGGTCCATGTACCAAGAAGTAGTGGGAATTTTATGAACCAACCTAAAGAAGAAAAAAGTTGGTTGTCAAAAATTCTGTAGGTTCAGGCTAGTAAAACTTCACGCTGCTTCCTGTATGTAGCGGCTTTGCAAAGCTTGTTGGGCGAGGGGGAAAAGGGGGTTTGACAATATAAATCTTCTTGATGGGACATTCGCATTATACAGACAATGGGATCTGCTAAATACATTATTTGCTGGAGGATAAACTATGCGTCGAAAGCCCACATCAAGCTTCTCAAGTTTTGCAGTTTTCCTTTGTTCTAACTCTAACGCATCCTATTTCCTGAGCTCGAGTCAGAAGCCGTGTATGTTGGTCCGGCTTTCCCAATTCAAAGGATTGGCCACAAGATTCCTGAGCTGAAGGGTACTCCTCATCTGCGACCGATGAAACTCGGGAACGATGCTTCTCCAGTGTGGGTTGGAGGTTGGTCTCGCTTACAACCCTTCAACTGACCTTGGATAATTGTTCATCATGCCTGTAAAGACGGTATCAACTATCGTTATATATAAGCGTGTTCAAGAAAAATGAAACCATCGGCTACTTGGTCCCGTTCAGGCTCTATAGAATGAAGGCACTCGGCATTACTTTGAAATATGAGACTTATTTGTTTCATTTCTGATTGATTGGTTCATCTTTCCTTCATGATCCTTACATACAAATTTGAAATATGAATTTATTTCAGAACACAATATTACGGAATGAAAAAATATTGAACACGAGTCAATGGTAGTAAAATTTTAGCCAACAATGAAATCGGACCAATACGGTGAAACAAGAACAGTAGCAGAAAACGTATGATCTGGAACTCATATTAGCCCCTGGTGCACAAGAAGCTAGATGACCAACTAAAAAATATTTACAATCGAATAACAATTTCGAAAAAAACAACATAAAATAAGAACAACACATTAATGTCGAGTCGAAAAAGGCATCAACTTCTAGAGCAATGGCTGGCTAAATGACAGAGATCCCAAGAATCCCAAAACAACAATAACGATGTTCAATCCGATTCTGCATCATCGCTAACGATTCCACGTAGATTTTTGAACATATTTTGAGTTTCTTCTTTCATGTGTTCTCGTTCTTCCTTTTCTTCTTCGTCTTCATTTGAGCTTTCTTCGAATATGATTCCGCGACGACGTCTGGATGCCAATGCTGCCGAGTGCTGACCGCGAGTCACACGACGTTCTACATTACAACTACATAAATCGACTATATATACCAGTTGGGTTGCACACCTAGCGCGTGCACCACAACAAAGAACGCTTTAAACAGAAGCTTATATTTAGTATGTAAATAATGGTGATGATTCCAGAAAGTTTACGAACAGAGTTGTAAATTTCTGATGGCAGCCCCGCCCACTATGAAGACTACCGCGACTTCCTCAACAGCCATAAGTCACTTGTTTGGATTCCAGAACGTTTGTGAACAAGGTTATGAACTGTTCTAGTAGGCGCCTTCCATTTAGAGCACGCCAAGCTCATTTTAGGTAGGGCTTCGCTCAGTTCAGGCATGCCTAGCACACAGGTTTTTATTAGGTTGGCAAATAGGTCCTGCGACAAAATGGAGACCTTTTTTAAGTCATTTCTAAATTTTTTCATATCAATCAATTTTCGGGGAGATTTTTGCCGAAGAAGACGACAACCTTCTTTTATCCTTTGAGCCAATCACTGACGCCATCTCTTCAGGAATGAGGGAGCTGTGACTCAAAGAAGTAATTGACTGCCGTTTTTGGGTCACATTAAGTTACGAATTTCTTTTCCACAACGGGATGCTCAAAAAGGCGGAGCACATTGTAGGTAAAAGGGGGAACACTCCGCGAGTACGACTGATGAGTAATCTGGAACAAAGCGGGATCGGTGAACATTTAACGTGGGTCTAAAGCAAATTTTCGACGTGCGTTGTCCCCCTGTAGGGACCTGATTTACGGTTTGATCGTCCTTCTCTAACCCCGTTGCCTAAATAAAGGGGATCATAGGGGCAAGTGATAGCTGTGTTCATCTAGTCTGCGTTTAGCAACTCATCGTGGATGGATTCCTTCAACCTCCATTAAACTAAGGGACGATGCTTGCGCTACTCCGAAGGCTGGTATCTCCACAAGTGAAGCGATCCAACTGATTGTTGACCGTCGAACGGTGAGCAGTGCTAGCATCGAATAGATTGCTGATACTTCGAGCCGCTACACCCGCGTTTTTTCCTTGGCGTGCTTAGGAGAAGGTGATTTTACAAATCGGGTGTTGTCCATTTATTGACCGTAATGCTGCGAAAGCCCACAGGCGTGCCCTTATTCATTCATGTGTTGATTGCCTGAGGAATGTCCTACAAGTCCATCACCCTTGCTACCGTGTTCACACTGTTGATACAAATTTTAAACGCTTCAAATTTTTTGTCGCAGGACTTATTTGCCAACCTAATATTTCTACAACCTTCCTCCTGGTTTCTGAGCTTTAGGGAAATCGGGTTATGAAAGTGATTGATAAGTTCAGCCCACATTGAGGCCCAGCCCAGAAATCATCTACCGGCTACTGTGAAACAAGAAAGCCATAGGAAACGAAAAAGGACCACTAATATTTGGATCTGAGAAATGTTGTACATCCGTCAGCGACTAACTATTTGCAAATTGTGAACACGCGGACCAATAAATCGTCTGTTAAAGGGAATAATTTCTTGACTCAAATTGCAACAAAAACAGTGAGGAACAAGGACTAATAGACACTTTGAATGAACCCACTTGGATTGTCTCCAATTTCAATGATTTGATTTTTGGCCAGCTCCGCTAATTCCGCCTCCTGTTCCTTCTGTAACCTGAAGGCTTTACACGACTCCATAGTGAAGGGCGCTAAAAAGTGGATCCCTCATAACTGTTCAACTGAAAGGTGGTGAAGGAACCAGCTATAAAAAAAAAATGTCGGTCTATAGGAAAAGGAAAAATAACGGTGTAGAAACTTCAAAAACTAAGCCCCGACAAAGACGGGGACACTACCAAAATTGAAAACAATGCATATTAGCAGAATATCAAAACTAACGAGTAAGCCCTCTCCTCTCTAACTCCTTCTCGAGAGCTTTGACGCGTTTACGATCACTGTCTCCGATGTCTTCAAATAACTTCTTGTAAACAATTCTGAAAACGTATTTGATCTCGAAGATACATTACCACAGAATAGCTAAACCCACCGTATCCCAGCTAACGTCACCATCTTCTTTAGTTTCGTTAGGCGAATTGAAGCAGCACTCTATAGCGGATGGATATAGTGATATTACTAGACTTTGTTAAGAAAAGAAACTATTACTTGTGTGACATCACTTTTAGCCTCTTTCTTTGGTCTACCTTTCTTGCCAGTCTTCTTCTGAAATATCAAAGTACAAGCTGTAGGATTCTGACGTTTCATAACAAGAACTATTACATTATACCACAGCGTTGGCAGAAACATTATCGAATAACAAGGTTTACGAAATATGTTCAAGACTTCGGCTCCAGATGGGCCTCAAACTCGTTCGCAAGCTTACCAGGCACAGTGCTCTTTACCTCTTACTACCGAGACCCCGCTTGCCCAGCCTTCTTAATAGGTTTTCTGCCATAGCTTATCAGCACCCACACGTACAACGTGTTGAGCTAATATCAGCATTAAATTACCAAGCTGTAACTTTTTTATATAAGTTGTTTCAATTTTTTGCTTTGATGCGTGAGTGCTGATAAGCCATGGCATAAAAGCCATTAAGAACGCGAAGTATGGTCTTGGTAGTCTAAAGGGTGAAAACCACGGTGCCCGGCTGACACAAGTTCGGGTTGGAGTCGTCCGAGGCCGAAGTCGCCAGCCTTGGGAGACTGTTCGTTAACAGGAGTTAACAAAACATCAAGTCGAAACAAATTATCGGTTCAGTTTTTGCGGAGTGGTTCCTTAGAACAAGATCGCCGAAAAAAGACACTGAACAATTCAAAACACATTACTTGCCTTCTTCCCCTTCTCTTCCTCTTCTTCATCTTCTGATGACGACCCGTGCCGCTCGTCAGCTTTCGCCTCGCGCTTCAAAAACAAAACTATGAAAAAAAAAACAAAGAAACTGAACAAGAAAGAACTATGTATCCTTATTTCACTCAAAGTCCACACGTTGAAAAACAGACAAAGTTATTTGTCTTGTGAGGTCCCTCAACCAGACATTTTCGCTCAAGAACAAAAAAGGAAACAAGTCAAAAGCTGTTCCTTAACGCAATCAGGAAAGTTTTGAGGA